TTGAAATTCCCCTCAGAAAGTCGGGTTCTCAAATTAAGCTCTGCTGTTGGTCTTCATTTGGCAGTTAACTCCGTTAAAAACTGTGTAAGCATACTAATATCAAGTGGCAAGCAATTTCTCCTTGTTACCTACCGTCTTTGCTACAAACAACTAGTTTACAGACGATAATGAGCGTCGTGACAACAAGTCCCGCCCATTTAAAGGACATATACAATTGGTCGATTTCGGGTCACTGATCAGACGTCTGAAAGCTGTTGGTCAAAAAAAATAAATCTAGAAAAGAGAATTAATACATTAACATTACATTTTAACTTGTTAACTTTATCGGAAACATTTAATTAGCATATAAATAATTATCAAACTGATTATATAATTAGAAAGTATCAAATCAAGTATTTAATTAAATATTAGGTGTTAAAAGCATAGTTCATCCAAAAATGGACGTGGTGTTTATTAATTTAGTTGGTTTAATTTAATTTGTTTTTTATTGATTGTTTTTTTTTTTTACTCTTTAATAATGTATAACCTTTGACTTGGAGTTTATGAATGTCTCAATTACCACAGTTTCAGGGAGAAACATGTAATACAATATTGAAACTTATTTAAAAAAAAAACAAGGCATCATGGTGGTGCAGTGGGTAGCAAGATCACCTCATAACAAGAAAGTGGCTGGTTCGAGCTCCTGGCTGGGTCAGTTGGCATTTCTTTGTGGAGTTTGCATGACTACCCATGTTGGCATGGATTTCCTCCAGGAGCTCTGGTTTCCCCCACAGTCCAAAGACATGCACTATAGGTGAATTTAGTAAGCTAAATTGGCTGTAGTGTATGTGTGTAAAAGTGTATGGGTGTTTCCCAGTGTTAGGTTGCTGCTGGAAGGGCATCTGCTGCATTAAACGTATGTTGGATAAGTTGGCGGTTCATTCCGCTGTGGCGACCCCTGATTAATAAATTAACTAAGCCAAAAGGAAAATAAATGATTGATGCCTCTACAGCTTTACTTCTTGATTTATTTTATTATTATCATCATAATAATTACATTTATGCGTTTTTGTTTTTTGGAGTGAACAGTTCCCTCAATCCAGGCTAATTGATGTGCAGAGAAAATGAACACTGCTAATCTTACACCCTCTAGCGGTGAATGAAAATAGTTCATAGCATCATAATTGCAATACCAGAGATTAATAATAATTTTGGAATGATGCTTATAGAAAACATGACTTGCAAAGAAGAAAAAGTCTGATTTTATTTTTCTCAATAAATACATAATTCTAAAAACAATTCACTTTCTACATGAATTATATGTAAAAGCAATGATTCATTTCTCCTCTGAAAAATATTTCTTAGTCGAGTAAAAGGAACCACATTCCCGTGAAACCCCATAAACAGAAAAAGACCTGTCTCATTGCATTAGTTTAATTAAAATTCAAATATCATCAATTGCATGGCAATCATTAAAGCATAAAACAATCATAATTGAGTAACACTCAAACATATATTAAACTGTTGTATTTGATGAGCTGGTACAGTCAAGCATCTGACCTACTGATCATCAGCATTCTGTTGTAAAGATTATGGCTTTTAATTTCTCTAAAGGAGTTTTGCAATAGTGCAACAGTTTAGCACATTGGCCCTGCAAAAACATATTTCTCACATATTATGTAAACGATTCATTTCTCTGTAGTCATATAAAAACCACATGACAAAGCATAAAACAAGCAGTTCAGCAACAACACATCTATAATCAAACATGATACAAAAGGATTTAAAAGAAAAATGTGCACAAAACTAATTGTAAACTAAAGAATTCCTGTACAAAACAACTATGTGCTTAGTAAAAATCAGGAAACCACTCTGTGATTCTCATAACTGGGCAGGTTACAAGGTTCATGTCTGTCACATAAAATGTAGAATAAGACAAAGCAGCTGAGATTTGATTTCGTCTCTCTAGTCCTGTGAGGGTTTCGAATGAACAGACACACTGTTGCCTTATGATCCCATAGAAAGAAACCACCCACCCAGCGACTGAGCAACTAGAGCTGGTCACAATCCAGCACAATCCAGTATAAACCTTTTAATGTTTCTGGCACGTTAGGAAACAATTCCTTTCTCAGGCTTGGATCGAAAAAAGGCTTTGTTTTTACACATGAACTGACCCAATGTTTAGTGAGTTGTTTGTAACCTTCATCCTGCCTTCTGGATTCTAAAGTGTCTGTCACAGGTCAAAAGGACTCCTAGAAAGACTAGTGAGTTAATGGGGTATATGCATACAGACTTTTCATTTCAGTCAGCCAGCCTCAGGGCTTCCGGTGCATTATCATCCCATACTAAATCACTGCGTTTAAGATCTGATTTCTATAAAAATCAATGATATTCACTGCTTGGCTGAAATACGATATAAAGTGGGTATCAGGCTAAACAAGAAGCACTGCATTGAATTATATTTTTGAGCCGCCATGTCTTTAAAATATAGAAACCAATTTTACCTCAGTATTTTCAATGGAATTTCTGTGCTAGCCTGTTGCTAATGAGGGCGCATGCATTTAAATGGTCTTTCGTTTCTTTTTACGCTTTAACAGCCAAATAGATGCTCAAGTATATGCAACTGATTATATGTGAATTACATTACAACATCAATGCTGTAAAAGAAACCGTATGAAATTGAAAATAATCACTTAAAGTTTTTTAAAGTTCATCAAAGGCTGAAAAAAACTAGCTGTGCACATAGCTAATTTCTATAGCCTATACATTTTTGGAGACGTTTTTACATCGAAACATCTGATATTTGTTTATATGTAGAAAATAAGACAATTTCAGCAATTTTTTCGTGAATATTCAAACATATTATGTGAAGAAAATAAATCATTTAAACTTGCACTTCATAGATTCTTCCGCTAGAGGGGGCCACAAAACTCAACACAGATTATCTGTGGAACAAATAAACATTTATTTACATATTTATAGCCAACCAAAGTTTAAAATTAGTATGTTTTTCATTTATTTGTTCGACAGAAAATCTATTATAGACTACATAAAACAGTAGTCTTTGGGACAAAAGTCTGTTTTAGGATAGCTTTGGTGAAAGGTTTTGATCCACTTCAAATGTTGACTGTAGCCTAGGCTATGTGAACACTTTTTCTCTGGCCACAATGACCAGAATTATCAAGATGAAGGTTAAATATATTTAATTTAATAAAAGGAAAAGTTTCAAACATCACCAAAGTCATGGGTTTGATCACCAGAGAGTATGAACTACTTCTACAAAAAAAGTATACAATGAGTCTAAAGTAACTTGATTGGGTTACAGCACCCACTACATCAGCAAGCTTAAAATATGACATATTCATGCTTAATTCCCTTAACATTGAAGGCTTGAAAGCTTTTTTGAGTGTCCTACTTGATACTACTTCCTATTTATATATTTGACTATGAATGTATGTTATCTTATAACTTCTTTCCTTTTGCTGCTAACTTCGCTGACACACAAACAGGCTCTTGCTAACTTCCTGACTAAAGAGTTCCGGTTTCAACGCTCATCTACAAGACCCACATCAGAGATCCTGATGTCTGAAAGCCGAACATATCTGCATTCAAGCACACAGAGCATGACGGACCCAGTGAAAGCCTTGAAACATGAGCACCATCAGTATAGATCTTACATCTTTACATGCTGTGACAGGCCATCATAGTTCAGCGGACTGTGAAAGTGGCATTACAGGCACAGTATTGTCCTTTATGGAGTTAAAAACATTTATATATGTCCAATACTTAATTCCGTGTCTTGTGTTTATCATCTAGTAAAAAAGGTAGAAACAAGACATCATTTATCTTTTTTTAATGTGTGTTTATATATAATGTAATATGTATTAATATAGGGCATTTATTGTGTGTAGACATACACTGAAAGCGCTTCACAATCATGAGGGGGGTCTCTCCACACCACCAACAGTGTGCAGCATCCACTCGGATGATGCAACAGCAGCCACAGGACAACGGCGCCAGTGTGCTAACCACACACCAGCTATTGGTAGAGTGGAAAGACATTGATATAGCCAATTTGGTGGATAGGGATGATTGGGAGGCCATGACCGGTAAAGGCTGGTGAAGGAAATTCGTCCAGGACACTGAAGTTACACCCCTACTCTTTACGAGAAGTGCCATAGTATTTTTTATGACCACAGAGAGTCAGGACCTTGGTTTTTGGTTTAAGAGCCCACTGACAGTATAGTGTCCCCTTCACTTTACTGTGGCATTTGGACTCACACAGATCATAGGCATAGGCCACCCCTTGCTATAGTCTCTCTAACACCACTTCTAACAGAAACCTTGTTTTCCCATGTGGTCTCCCATCCAGGAACTGACCAGGCTCAACCCTGCTTAGCTTTAGTGAGCTGCAGGGTGATATGGCTGTGTTTTTAGCACAAATCTTACAAGTTTTATCATTAGGAAACAAGATTTTACAATTCTACTAGTCAAACAGTAGATTTGAACCATTTTTGAATCAATTTAACCAATTTCTTGTTTTGACGAGGTCACTTATAGCTTAGCATAATGAATTGAATCAGATTTTACCAATAACAATTCAACTCAACAATTAACAATTCAATTCAACAATTCATTATTATTATTATTATTATTAATAATAATAATAATAATAATAATAACAGAAAACTCAAGCTGTAAACAGGAAAATTCTCAAAACACCTTTAGGATATATTTGAGCAAAATACAAACAGTCAGATCTGATTTAATTCAGTATGCTAAGCTAAGCTTAATGTGACCCAGCCAGAACAAGCAATTGATAAAAAAAAAAAAAAAAGTCTAGCAGACTTGTAAAATGCACATTTCCAAGGGAAGCGTGTTCTTTGAAGTATAACAAGTTTGTTATACTCCAGTTATGCTCCTGGATAAATATCGTAAGACAACAGTAAGTGATGCATTTTTTCACTAAAGTAGCAGTTTATACACCTTGTTTAGTTTAAAAACACAGACTGCGGTGTCTATTTTTTAGACCTTTTCATTTGTTTGTCACCACATTTTCTAATTACAATATCATGCAAATAATGTTCCAAACAAGTCAGTCCTGACATAACAAATATTCCAGGCAGATTTGCATTATAAAAACATAAACCACCAGTTTATGGAACCAATAAATATCTATAAGGATATAGCTTTCGTATCAAACCATCAAGTCCCTTTAAGTTATGGAGATTTTATGGTAATAGGAGTGAAACCTGGTGAAGAACACAGTTTTTTTCTTTCTCGTTTTTTTAAATATATATAAAAAAATCATATTAGTCACAAAGTGCCTAAATCCTTTTGCATAGTCTTGAGAAAGTCATACATTTAAATTTCAAATATGTTGATTTTCCTTGTTATTATATCTGCATGGCTTTAATCATTGGGTCATGAAGCACAACAACTTGAGGTGCCCTTCATTGTTCACCACCAATCACTAAATACTAGGCACAGTTCAACCAAAAATGAAAATTCTGTCATTCTTCACTTGGTCCGAACCAGATGAAAACTTATTTAAGTTCCTTTTTTTCTGTTAAACGTTGAACACTGAAGAATCTCCAAAAGAAAAGCTGCTATTTGTCAACATTCTTCAGAAAAGTAGAAGTTTAGCTTAGTTTAGTGTTTAACAGAGAAAAGTTCCTAAAAATTTCCTAAACATTTATAACCGCTCAAGTGTAAGTAAATGAAGAAATTTTAATTTTTTAATTAAACTCTGCTTAAGCCCAAAGCATAGCTAAATATTTTTGCGTTTGTTAGCATAGCATCCGTTGAACACATAGCCTTCACAGAGCTTCTCCAGTCTTTTTCTGATTAATAGTTTTAAGCATGGAATTTGTCTTTGTGCTTTATTAGAATAACACTGAGGATATCCAATATCAACATGGGCTTGTATTGTTTTTATAGTCCATTTCATAATAGTTAACAGTGCAAAATAAATCCTAAGCAAATGTTTAAGCGTTGTGTACCTTAGACTCAAGTAAGTCTTAGTCATGTTTGCAAAAATCATGACCATAATGACACCATAACTCAAGCTTGTTGTTGTTATATAATAAAAGTTACGAGACAAAAACAGCAAATAGGAGAGCTATCAGATTAAATCTAGTACCATAGTTGTAAGTAGGCATGGGATAATAACCGAATTCAAGATAGACCACGTTTTGGAAGAGTCAAGGTTTCAAAACGGTCAAAATTTTCTGTTATACTTTTCCTAAGTTATGTGTAAGAGTTTTTTTTTACACAGCAGTATCTTCAGCAGAAAAGATCTCCAAAGTTTTCATTTTAAATAGTAAAAAAAATCTGTTTTTGAAACTAATGAAGACAGTAGAAGTCAATGATTCATTTCAATTATTTAGCCTGACATGTTACAAAATATTATAAATGTTTCTCAAAATAAAATATATTATTTTCAATAGGGAAAAAAGTTTTTTACCAAGACATTTAAAAAGTATATATTTTAGACCAGTTATCTACATACTGTGACACCATGATATTTTTTCCAAGGTCATCATACCGCCAGAATCTTATTCTGGCCCATGCTTAGTTGTAAGTGCTAAAAATTGTTACCACAGAGAAAAAGTAAACAGTAGTTTTCATGTACACCCCTGGTACTTCTTATAGATACTTGGGTAATTCCTAAAATAATTAACAGTTCCTATTTTAAAAAGTTTTTAAAAGTTATAGGAACTATGAAAATATTCCTTCATAGCAAAAGACACAGTTTAACACAGGTAAAAACAAGGCTTGTGAGGAATAGACATACCGTCTGCACAAAGACTTGCAATTTATCAATATTACATATTTTCAAAACGGCTGATGGAGTTATGTACTGAACATTATTCTGATTTTTTTTTTATCAATGTTTCATCAGTCGATCAATCGGTACATTGTACAATTTTTTTACACTGTAAAAGGCACTTCTCAGGATAAACAAAATGCTACATTTGAAGCATAGACTTTTTGAACAGCATCATAACATAAGGAACTTATTGTGAATAAACTTATAGAAGGGATATGAAATGAACATTTACACATCCCTGCACAGTGGTTTCCAGTCCCGGTGACAGTCTGAAGCTCTATGCCTGACTGATGGCCACTATCTTGAGGACTGTTGCACTTTGTACTCGCAGTGAAAAATAGGAAAGTTGTGCACATCTCATGAGCTGTATGCAAAATATAGCATGGTCTTAAAACCACCCATTTGAATCACCCCTGTATCTATTAACGTTTGCCTTTTGCATATGGGTTTTCCAGCAAGTAGTGATATTTGTCATAGTTGTCCAGCAGGTATTTGGGAGCATACATATGCTCTTTGGGGTCTGTTGGTGGGTAGTCTGGTTCAGACCCATCAAACCAACCCCCTGTGCGTATTAAGTCTTTAATATAACTTAACTTCCGTTTCTCCCCATAATCCCCCCAACGTGGAAAGTCTCCATTCTGGGCTGATACTAGTTTGTAATAAATCCCTTCTGGTTTGAAACACCAAGAACAGTGCCATCCAGCATAATGAACAGGGCTTCCGATGGCCCATGGAATCAAAATACGTCCCGTAGAATTTTCGTACTCCCGAAATCCCGACATGGTATAATATGACCGGCGTCGAAGATAAATCCCATCACCCTTGTAAACCTTAAAAAGCATAGCTGCCGTGCAAGCGGATAAGACGTTAAGCGTTCCATACTGTCTCCAGAAAAACCCATATAAGGATTTACGCAAATGGATCCCGACCGGTTCAGTCCATCCATCGTAGAGTTTAAGGAACAGAATTCCATCTCGTGAAGGAATTTCATCTGCATCGTTCAAGATGAACACATCATCTGGTTTGAGGCCCTGAATCCTTGCCATTCCATTTTTGGTCAAATATGTGCGCAGGTAATCATCCGCAATCCAGCCATCCATGCGGCCACCATCAGGAAAATGGTCCAAGAAGATATAAAGAATCTTGTGCTTAATGTAATCAAATGTTCCATTTAGGATCAGATGCTTTAAGTACAAAGGTCTTGCGTCTCCATAAGCTGTAAAATTGGATTCGCAAACCAAAAATGTGTCCACGACATCTGCGAGTTCATGGAAGCGCGTGTGCAGGAGGTCAAACTCGTGGTTGATGTTAATGGCATTGATGACCCGACGTGGAATTTTTCTGGGTGTGACTTTCGACTTTGATGGGAGATTGGAATGATACACAACAGTAGGTATGCCACATTGAGGGCCATGCCAACCCTGACGACAGGGACACCGAACGTCCTTCTTGCCTGATTTGATTAAATCATCTTTGAGGGGGGTTCTCTCCTCATAATGTTTCAGTAACCTGCCTTGAGATGCAAGTGCAGCCAGATCCGTCCCCTCATGGAAGCACAATGCTCCAGACTCGGTGTGGGTAAAAAATGGTGTAGAATCATCACGAAGCTCAAAGATCTGCTTGTGAAGGTTTGTGACGACCTGTTTGGCATCTGGAAGATCTGGCAGGTCGACAAAATCCTTTTAGGAGGAAAAGAAATACAATTTCAAAACTGTATGGACCAAGTGTCAACTTTGAAACAAACCATAAAATTAGAAAGGTGCTCATGTTCAGAAAGCCACCTGATGGAGTGTTAAAGTACATCATGTATAAAACAAAAGGTTAAAATAAATAACTAATCCCAACCATGACTATTGGTTTGTCAGGTCAGGTAGCAGAACTCAGCTCTACCTTCTGATGGCTGGATTTCTGACGGTCTTGCTTGAAGGGGATGTCATCAGTTGGAAAGTTCCAGAGGAAACCTCTCAACATCTTCAGAGTCTTCAAATGGCTGGATGGAGAGGAGATCTCCTGCAGCAGAGAAATATTGTGCAGGGCTGTGTAGTAATGAAGGAAGGAAACCACACAAATCCCCAGTAAGCACACCAGGAAGACCTTATGCCTCTTTACTCTCATCCTGTAACACAGAGAGAAATTCTGTTAGTTCATTGAAAACAATAAATGAAATAAGACTGGAAGCCAGTCCACGCACATGCCACTGGGTGACTGGAGTTGAAAATACTTCAAACTTATCTCGAAGAACTGGTTTAAATATGCCAAATCAACCTGACATCAAAAACTTGGCATGGTGTTAATGTGATCAATCATTCGACAACCATAAACCACATTCATTGTGTGATTAATGCCTTGTGATACAGATACCACATTAGGCAAAGCTCTTTTTAAAAAAGTAATATGAGTATTAACAAGTCTTCCATGCTTGGACCCCTAATTATTTAAACTCATAAAGCTCATCCAGTTTAGTGACTGTGCAGATTTTTCCACTTCACTCAGAATCATGTTACCTAGAATCATCTGGCAACCAAAGCATCTTCTCAGATTTAGGGTGCTTTCACACCTGTGAATCGATTCAGTTGTTCCGAAACAGAGATTAAAATTGTTACATTGTTGCTCTTTGCTCTTGGAGCGGTTCGCTTTCACACTGCAAAGTTTCTAATCGGACCAAAAGAGCTAAAACAAGTGACGTGCGAGTAAACTCTCCTTACATTGGTCAGAGTGTCAGGGTTTATTTTGCAGCGTCCCGCTAAGCTGTCAGGAGAGGTGGTGGTTTGGTGGTGATTGACAGGGTGCGCGCGTGACGTGTCTGAGGAGAGACACGGTGGGGAGGGGTGAGAAGGGTGCGCGACGATGCCTATTTGATGACTGGGAGAGAGACGCGAGATTACCGGGAGATCATCCCTCGTTCGCGGGCATCCAGAGACTCGCAAAACTTCCCGCCCTACTCATAATTCTCTCTTCATATAGCCGTAAGCCTATTACATATCCATAAAACACTGTGATATAACCGCGCTCGGATCGGATCGCTTTCTCACTGCAATCGAACCGCTCCAGGGTTCGTTTCAATCGAGCCGAGACCACCTCATTCAAGCGATCTCGGAGCGATTACTTTGGCGCGGAACAGAGCGCGATTGCCCTGTTCACATATGCCAATCGAACCGCGCTAACTGGGCAAACGAGAAACGTTCCGAAACAAAAGTGTAGGTGTGAAAGCACCCTAAGAGTTCACATTTAGCTGATGATTGATAATGAAGCTTGTTTGGCATGCTGTCCCTGGAGAGAGCCCTGAGCTCATAAGATCCTCGAGCCAAGGGCTCCCTTTCGTTGCAGGGCGAGAGGGGAGATTGAGCTCAGGTAGATCTCGAAACTCCCCTGCTGTACTAGTTAATGAACAGATAGTGATTTCTCTTAAAAGATAACTACTTTCTAGGAGCATGTCTAAAGTGCTGATTTGGATTAGTCAACTTAAGTCGCATATTTTTGGACGGTGGGAGGAAACCAGGAGACCCGGGGGAAACCCACATGAGCACGGGGAGAATGTGAAAACTCCACACAAACATCAGCTGGCTTGGTAAGGACTAGAACCAGTTCTTGCTGTGAGGCATCAGTGCTAACTATTGGGTCATCAGTATAGTGACTTAGGAATCGTCTGATTGGTGTATCATGAATTGCCTAATGCATGACTAGCTGTGTTTCATCATAAGCACTTGATCCTCTTGAAATTAGTTTAGAAATAAACTTCACTTCAAAACAACAAATAGCAGAATTAAACAGCAACAAACTTCCATTAGTAATAAACACAATGGCACTCTGTGATCTCTTTTTGCACTGGATCATGGTTGTGGTTACTGTAATATCTAATTCAACACAATTTAGTTCTTAATCATAACCCAGCAGACACACAACATCATAAGATGTTAATATTTGGTTAGATTTAGTTCACCAGTGTCTATGGAAAATGTTATTTTGATGTCCAATAACAATGTAAAATGATGTTGATATTTGGTTGATTTCAGGTTGTGTTGGAAAGTGACCAAAATTCAACAATCAACTCAACATCTTAAGCAAACGCCATATTGACATCAAATACTGACACTTATTCGTCAGGTATGGCCACCAAAGTCCAACTTCTGATAGATGTCCTATTGGTATTGTCCACATAACATCAAGCTGTGATACAAGTAAATGTTGACATTTTGTTGTTTTTAGGTTGGAAAGTAATCAAAATGCAATGTCTGTCCGATGTTGAACATTGACGTCGGCTTCTCACATCAACCTGACTTTCATTTCCAATAAAAATGCAACCACCCACGACATTTGTCTCACAATGTCAATCTGGCGTCATGTTGACATCCTGCCAGGATTCTTATCTCTCAGCAAAATGCTGTTGTCTCAAGCCTGCCTAATACAACTCCATAGAAGTGTAGCATGTCAGACTGCGTAAGCATGATTCCTACGTCAAACGGTAACATATTAGCTGTCAAAATGTTGGATCAAAAGACAATCAAGACGCTCAAGAAAATCCATCCAGTCTGATGTAAACCATCCATGACCCACTTATAACCAGTTTTCTGAAATAATACCTCGCAACATTCACTATCTGCAGCAATAATTTTACTAACAACATGCATTAGAATGAGAAAGCAAAAAAGGTTTAGAGACTTCCCCACTGTGGTTTGCAGTGATCACGCTAATTGCGTCATCAGATTTGACGCTCCTATTAGTTCTTGGTATGACATTTGTTGTAGCTAAAGTCACAATGCAGGAAAGTGTCTGCAATGGCCTTTAAGTGGCTGTCAGTGAACATGTCAAACCAGTGATCACAAATTTTAGACTAGGATTCTGAAAGAATCCATAAGTATTTCAACCTAACTGTGGCTAGTTTTTATAAATAGATGGGCAGTGTTATGTAATATTAGCAACCATAAGAAAAGTTAGATGGAAAAACTGACTCGAGCACTTTAAATTGTGTAAGCATACTGAGGGAAAATACAGGATACAGTTAAAGACAACAAGATTCCACAATTAATTAATTAATTCTATTTTTTGCAATCACACTTCATAAAAACAGTCTGCAGAAACACTTTTTACATGTCATCAGAGCAGAAAATCATTAGCATAAACCGCATTGACTGAGAAGTTCCCATCTGCCATTAGACTTTTGATTCTGCCACAATGGTGACACATAGACTGAACATTTGTTCTTCAGCATTCTTGCATCCTCGTTTTCTTATTTAACGTCATCATTAACCACCAAAGTTCAACTTCAAAACTTAAGAATGGAGGATGCGTCGATGCAGAATTCACTCAAGAAGTCCCAGAAGTCATCGCGGCTAAATAAAGGAGGTGGGAAATGCAGCATTTTACATAGATTTACTGTTAATGTTCAGATATAGAATTTATTTTTCTCAGGACTTTCCCTAAATGAGATGGTAAAAGTAAAAATTACAATCTTAATTAAGGCATAACCATTTTAAGGGAGTTTATTTGATGAAATTGGCATTAAAATTTGTTTTATTTTTATTGTGCAACAATTGTAGGGTCTTTATGCGTAGTATATATTGTGAAAAGGGGAAAAACTATAAATCGTCATGTGAATGCTGTAGGCAAGGCAGTGGCGCAGTAGGTAGTGCTGTCGCCTCACAGCAAGAAGGTCGCTGCTTCGAACCTCGGCTCAGTTGGCGCTTCTGTGTGGAGTTTGCATGTTCTCCCTGCCATCGCGTAGGTTTCCTCCGGGTGCTCCGGTTTCCTCCACAGTCCAAAGACATGTGGTACAGCTGAATTGGGTAGGCTAAATTGTTCGTAGTGAATGAGTGTGTGTGTGAATGTATGTGTGGATGTTTCCCAGAGATGTGTTGCGGCTGGAAGGGCATCCGCTGCATAAAATCTTGCTGGATAAGTTGGTGGTTTATTCTGCTGTGGCGACCCCAGATTAATAAAGGGACTAAGCCGACAAAAAAATGAATGAATGCATGAATGTGAATGCTGTAATGTTTAAATTTCCATTTAAAACACGTGAATACCACAGGATGAATGCAGCTTGCATTTCTCAGAGGACACGTTCTGTGTTCTTGTGGTCTCCCAAGTTCATTCTTCTGAGGTAACTTGCCAATACCAGTCTCTACAAGAACACAAGTACTTTCTTAGCATTATAAAAACTGAGAAACACCCATGGGCTTTTATAGCTCCACTCTCTTTTGGAAAGAGGTAGTACAATCTCATCTGAATTTAAAGAGACAGTCAAAACAGCACAGTTTAAATCAAAGCCTTAAAGGGGAAGTCTCAAAGAATTCTGAAGCATTATCTGTAAGGTATTTTGGGTTGAAACTTTACATACACATTCTACAAACATCAGACTTGTTTTACATCAAAACAGGGCATAGGTCCTCTTTAAAATAAAGTGTGACCCTGCATAGCAAACTAATTGAAACTTCAGCTTCACCATTGTTCAGTCTTACTTGCATGTACTTTCGATCTACTTTACATTGACATTTAAATGTATTTTAGCAGATGCTTTCATCCAGAGCAACTTACAAATGAGGAAATAGGAGTGATTCGTCTTAAGAGGCAAATGATTAAGAGAAGTGCAAGTAATACTAAGTTTCAGATGCTGAAAAACTACAAACTAGAATTGGAAACATTTTTAAGCAGGATACAGCTGGGGATTCATACATGCGATTAAAAGGATCCGTCTAAGAAAGGTTTTGGAAAGTTTTCTTGTGCTTCTTTGTGATAGTAAAATGCAACACTTATTTACCAACCTAAGGCTTCTGGAGGGAGGCCATTTACATAAGAGCAAGGGGAGGTTGGAGTGTGCAGTGACCGTGGTTGATCTGTAAGCTAGAATATGTTTCTTTAAGTTAATGCAGGCTGATAAACAGAGGGTGATGTGGGCCATATCTGCTGCCTGCATGCACACATTGCCAAAGGTATGAGGCTATCTGACATGACTTGCCATTCAACTGATCTTTAAAATGACAGGGAGTGACTTCGAATAACACTCATGAGGAAACCATGGCGAAAATTGAATTTATATAAACTAATTAGAATGTGTGTCAATTTGAAGGACATTTGTTGTTAGTGCACATCATAAACACACCTAACAAAGGAATTAATGAA